AGGCTAGTTGGGAGTGACGGCGTCGCGCGCCCGAATCATGCGCCGCTTCTGCAATTTGTCCTGCCTGTTTGGGCGCAGTGCTTGTCATCGTTTCGGGCCGAAAGATGCCCTTTTAATCTTGAAATGGATGAGTGATGCTGGCCAAAGATGAAAACAGTCCTGCTACCCAGTGCTCCTAGTTCGCTCGACAGGGGAGGGCTTCCCTTTGATAGTGTCGTAGAGGCAGTAGAGGCCGTCAGGCTGCTGCTGCTGGCCGTCTCTTTTTCTCTTTTTGTGCCTTTGTCCTTTCACCAGTCCCTTTGCATCTGCTTTCTCTCTTTCTTTTTCTCCCTGGTACTGAGAGGAAAGAGTGCTCACTGATCAAGTGGCCCAGTGAGCGCCTTTAGCAGGCCAGCTGGCCTTGCCTGCTGCTGCTGCTGCCGCCACCGCCGCTTCTTCTTCTTCTCCGGTCGCCTCGAGATCGCCAGCCATTTGGCCCTTGCCTGCGATCTCCTCCTGAAAGGGTCTATTCAGAGAGCGTATTTGGGTATATAGTTTCATATTTAACTCAGTGGCTGCCGTTTGTCGGCCGTTTGTCTGCAGTTCTGCCACCGAAATCTGGCTCCATTCTTCCGCTTTGCTTCGGTGTATAGACGACAGAGTTGACTCGTTTTGTTCTCTAGTAGCCGCTCCACTGATAACAGTACGTGTGTGAGTGTGTGTGTGTGTGTGTTCACTAAGATCAGAGGCACCAGCCACCAAAATTGTCTTCCATGAATAAGCCTTATCTTAATTTTGCTTTAAAGTGAGAGTGCGTCTGGTAGTGCTGCTGCTGCTGCTGGTCGTCGTCGTCGTTGTCGTCATCGTGGTCTCTTTTCTCTTTCCTCTTTTGTCGCCTTCTCTTCGACTGCTTCCTCGTCTGTGGACCTTGTACAGCAGTCGGTAAACACCAGCAGCAAGTCTAGCAGAAACAGCAGAAGCAGTGTGCAACATTTCAGTGTCACACTGCGGCTTTCTCTGTCACCAAACCGTTCACACTGTCTCCCTTTTCGCCTTATATTCTCCAATCTAACGACGACAATCTGCCGCATTCTCTCCTCTGATCCATTTTCACGCCAGTCAATTCAGCGAGTGAATACTGCAAACAAAAGAATTAATACGACAGTGTGCCTACAGTTTGCTCTAAACAAGTCAGAAAAGCTCGCATTGCTCAAGGGGAGCTGAAACTGTACTGAAACGGAAGTTCGAAACGAATGTGTTACTAGTTACTAGTCACACTAGTGATCGAGTACTCAAATCGAGCAATCGCACGTCCACTGCAAAGGCGCACAAGAACGGCAGTCGGTCCACCGACGATCCGACCGACCGACCAGCCCACACACACACACACTTCCACTTTCACTTTCACATAGACATCGCTTGGCGTACACACAAGTCACCCACATACAATTTCAGAAAGAGTGAGAAAGAGAGAGAGACGGCACAATCAATCGAGTGAGCATAGAGTGAGCAGCACCTTCTTTCTTGTGATATTCACCATTCTTGCACACCTTCCGCGCCGGACTCACGCGCCAAATTCAGTCGCCCAACTCACCCGCCTCACAGACAATGGCCGTCAGCCTGCGATGCCATCCCTAGGTGATGATCGACCAGATGATCATCAGCGGAAGTACAGCACCTTTGCAGAAACAGCCGAAACCGAAGCAGAAGTGAGTCGGTGTGGAGAGAGAAGCAGTCACGCACATGCCGCGCCACTCGCTGGTCGGCGACCACTCTGCGGCGACCATTTGACGACGAGTACAGCACTCACCGGACGATCAGCGACGAAGCGGTCAGCACCACTGGTCGGTGGAGCCGACTTGAGCAGCAGTCCTCGAAGCAGTACAGCAGCGGCAGCCATCGAAGCAGCCATCGCAGTTTGTCCCTTTGCTAGTCCTTCCACCACCGCTACTACTGCACCGCCACTAGTCCTCCAGGCACCGCTGAGTAGCATGAGACATCACCGCCTGTACGTATACACTGACCCTATTAGTCGATTGGCCTACTGCCAATCACGTCAAACGTGAACAATTACAAGCACTGTCGAATTTGAGAGGGGCAAAAATAGAGCGGGACAAACAGACAGCGAGACACAGAGAAGCGAGAGCGTACTTTGGAGAACACGTCCGACAGATGCGTCCCCCTCGGTGTACATCAGACGCAATCGAGAGGCAAAGCTCTTTCTTCTAGCTCCTATTGATATTGTCAATTTCTCGCAAGATTCAATCAGACGAAGCATTCACACTGAAGTGCAGTGCACGATGCACTTAGTGCCATCGGCCTTGTAGAGACGGCGGCAAACTCGCTTTCCACAAGGGGCTCGTTCACTTGCTCCACTAAGCGGTGAAAGCAATCACACACATACACTGCTTGCCAGATTGGTTTTGCAATTGCTTTCTAGTCCGCTTGTGAATATACTCTTCAATATTCTAGTTGGTAGTTGCCCATTCTGCCTACTAGCCAGCCAGCCAGTGGCAGCCGCAGCGGCAACCGCAGCGATTAGTGGCAGCCGGATGCCGCCGCCAATTTGCATAGCCTTTCCATCAGCCGCCCTAACGGCGTTTTATCTCCGCAGCGACACTCTGCCCTCATATGAGTTACTCAACCTACCACAGCGGGCCAATTCGTGATTGTACTTTGAAAAAGAACGGTAATCCCTTGCATTGCAAATGACATTGCCCAATGGCAGCTTGTGCTAACTCCCCTTCTCGCCCTTTTCCCAATTCTGCAGACATTCTCCTAAGGTGGAACTTCATCATGGACCGAGGCAACGCTTTCACGTGCATGAAGTACACATTGATTCTCTGCAATGTCTTTGGCTTCATTCTCGCCATTTTCAACGCCCTTTTTGGCATTGGCTACCCCACGGAGAAGTGGCCGGGCGGATACACGGGCGGACAGATGGCCATTGTCTCTATATTTGTGATGGCAGTCGCAACAATCGGCTATTGTGGTGCCCAGCACCATAAAGGATACCTCCTGATCGTCTATGGTAAGGGCACATCTATCCTTCGCTGCACGGCAATCACGGCATTTTAGTTTACTCAGCGTATAAGGGAAAAATAATAATAAAGGGTTTTTGTGTGGTGCTGATGTTAATTTCGCATGCAAATTATCTGCAGGTTTTAATAACAAAACTCCAGCTGAGACGAAAGGATTAGTGAAAAGTGAACAATGAAACAAACCAAAACAATAGTTTGCTCATTTACCCGGGCTTACGACCTAAGTCGAGCAGAATCTTTTCCCGTCTTTTGATTAACTTTAGTTAGAACAATGTAGATGCACCCAGTGACTGGCAGATATGATCACCAGCCAGGAGGACAACAGTGAAGCGACTGTTAATTCACATACTCTACTTCTTTCTCCCTTCTCTCCGGCAGGCATTCTCATATTCCTGACGTTGATTGGCATAGTTGCAATCTGCTTCATCTACAACGACTCCATGGACCAGCTATCGAAACGGCCTTTGTACAATGGCTTCACCGTCAGCATATGTGTGGTAGTCTTCTTCCTGATGCTCTTTGCCTTCTTCATCTCTTATAAGATCAGTGAACACGGCTCAGGCAAGTACCTCTCGACGATCATTCCCACGACACAGCAACGTCGGGAGACGAATGCAGGCAGCTGTACTGACAATCGAAGACACAACATGTTCAACAGTGGCACCCTCCAGGGCGCCAATGCTAATCCGTGCCCAGTGCCTGGCTGCAATTACGGGAAGATCATCTCCAATTAGGCCTGCGACTGCACTTGCCCCCAGCATCGCACACAATCACACAACATGTCCATCACCTCATTGATTAGCCACCGCTCCAACTGCTCACTAATCTCAGTCGCTCTCCCACACAACTGACCACCACCACCACCACTACACCGCTACACCGCTCCCTGGGCCTCATTCCATTCCGGCATTCTGGTGCCCACTAGTGATACTTTCGCTCCCTCTTTACCGTAGTCGATGCCGCCATCCAATTAGTTGCTCCTGCTGCCATTGCTGCCACTATTCCTCCTGTCCTTGCTCGTCCGGCGGAACGTTCTCATTTTGGAGGCAATCAAGTCCTTCTCAATCAGTCCCTGCAATCAGCAATCTGCCCCAAGCCGTTAATCCCTCTCATTAGGTTCCCTTTCCCTTTTCCCCACTCTCTCACTCTCCTATTAGACCCTGCAACGGGAGCAGGACAAGCAGGAAGGCAATCATTTGCTGACTGCTCTGTTCCCCTCGTCAGCAAAAGCCAGTGTCAGGCAGTAGAATGTCCCCTGAGCAGGCAACTAATAGGAGTACCATCAGCAACCCAAATACCATCAGTATCATCCCCGCCATCACCAGTTTCAGCAACCTCAGCAGCAGCAGCAGCAGTAGCACCATCAGTACGACGACCATTGAGTGCATGTTGAATCCCTCCCTCCTTGCAGCCTTGCACAGGGACACGAACAATCGTCGAGCGAGCCTAGCCCGTGTGAGCCTGTGCTCTGCCGATTGTGATAGCTTCCTTTGCCCCCTTCAACTTTTGACTCTATTCATCGACCGTGCCATTGCCATTGTTTAGGCGCCGGCTCGCAGGCAGGCGGCGGCGACGGCGCCGAGCGACTCAATAACTCAGAGGGACCCGACTTGCAAGTCCCCTGCCCACCCTAGTCTTCCACTGATTGGACCTCACTTTTTGCCACTGCCGCCCCAACCGGCGGCGCCCAATCCAACCCCACTATTATTCTCTCTCTCTCTCTCTGCTCTCTATTTTTGATGACACTTTTCGCTCTTTCGTTCTTGCCAGACCGCTTTGACTAGCGAAGCTTCCAGCCAACCTTATCCTGTACCCCTGGCCCAGTTTCTTTTCCTTTTTTTCTGTTGCCCAGTTGCCGTAGGCCACTCTGCTCTATCGTCTATCTCGCTCTCTGCTTCCGTCTCCACTCTCGCTAGTAAAGTGTTCGCCCTTCGATTGCCATTTCTTGGTATTTTCTTCCACCATTGTTATTTGCGTGCACGTGCATGCAAACGTGACTGTATATAGAGAAAGTTATTATTTCTATATATTTATAACCAACGCCATCACTCGTCGTTTCCTTCGATGTCTCATGTACTATATTTACAAACAAAAACACTTTTCTAACATTATATTAAAATAATTCTACAATAAATCAACAAAGTTCAATCAAGAGACCGCACCGGTTGACTCTGCCCAGTGCAACTCTGTTGCAGTCGGGCGAATTTGGCAACTTTTATTCTTACATGACTTGTTGTGCACTGCTTCTTTGGCACCATTTCTGGTGCTCTACAAATCCAAATCTTTCAAGCCGGGGACAGCCTTGAACATTCCCTCGACAATGTCGTCGGTGACATCAGACAACGATTTAGGATTCCAACTGGGGCTTCCACTCTTTGTGATGAGGCCTAAGAAAAAGAAGAGATTTCGTTAAGTGTGTTTGCCAAATGATGTGCCTGTCGAGTAAACAACAAATCTAAATGGAACACTTACGAGCAGTCACACCGTTGAAGAAGTCGTCGTATTTGAGTAAGTTTTGCGACACTCGAAACTCCATTATGAGGCACTGGGGAAGGTTCAACTTTTGGCCTCGTTTCAGCAACTCGAACGTCACTTTGAGGCTCAGCGGAGATGCCTTGTGCAGTTCGTCAAGCACCTCCTTAGCCCATGAAGAGGTATCCTCCTTGAGAATATCAATCATCTTCTCGACCGAATCTGCGCCGAAAGCGGTGTTGATTCTGCCAACATACTGCTTCTCGGAGAACTCCTGCTTGTAGTCGTCCATCCATTGTTCCTGGCAAAGTAGGGTGATATCATCAATTATTCATGCGCACACAATATGGTGACAATTTATTCCAATTACTTGATGCTTGGAAAGAACGTGGCTTATGCGGTTAGCATCAGGTTCCTCAATTCGCAAGAGATCTCCCTCGAGGTTAGGCAAGTTGGCCTTAGGAGTAAAGTGAGTGGCAATTCCCGCCTTGACGATGTCAAGTCCCTTCATTCGCCGACCCGTTAAGGCAAGGTAGGCGCCTAGTTTGCCAGGCAGACGGGGCAAAAAGTAAGATCCACCCACGTCAGAGAAAAATCCAATTTGCGTTTCTGGCATTGCGAAAACTGCATTCTCAGTCACCACTCTGAAGTTGCCGTGCACCGAGAGACCGACTCCCTTTATAGGTGATAAATAATTAATGAGAACAAATATTGATTAAGTGGTGTCGGCAATTCCCGATCACACTTACACCGCCCATACAAATGCCCTGAATCAGAGACACGATTGGCACACCAAGGTTTCCAATTTTGGCATTTAGCAGGTACTCTTCTCGAAAGAAGTCGCGGCTAAGATCTGACCCTTTGCCACTCTCGGCGATTGCTAGAGACAAATGACATTGTGTGAAGATTACAGAGGCAATTAGGCTGATTGTCACTTACCACGAACGTCTCCACCGGCACAGAAAGCTTTGTCGCCAGCTGCCTTCAGAATGACCATCTTCATGTTCCTGTCATTTTCCCACTTTTTGAGCTGTGGGTAGATGAGACGGACCATGTCCAAGTTGAGGGCATTCAGTGCCTTGGGTCGGTTGAGGGTGATGATTCCCTTGTTGCCCTTTGTCTCAAAGAGAACGTCAGACATTGCGCCAGACTGCTGAGTGGACGCTAGCATCCGTTTGGGAATGACCGACAGCTTTGAGCGCAGGCAGGCGCCAGCAAAGGCTGCCATCGCGTGCATGGTGAGCCTGTTCAACCGAAGAGGTACGTGCCAAGTGTCGATGACGGCGGCGGCGGCAGTTGCTCTTTCACTTTCTCTCTCTCTC